ATATCTATTTACATTTCCAGTCAGTTCAAATGTTGCCTCATCAGAGAAAACAATATTATTAAGTAATAGAGGATCGTCGACAATCATCTCCATTATAAGATCACAAAATTCGATGTGTCTATCAAAATCGTCTTCGGACAACTTTTGGACCAAACGGAGTTTGTATGGATGCCATTTATTCAATTTCAGAATTTTACTGACAGATGCATGACCGATTTCGTGTTCTTGTGCAACGCGATTGATGGAAATGTGGGGACTTTCAACGAAAAACTGTAAAACATCTAATGCCTTATCATTATTTGCTACTGTTTTATGTCTACCAGATCTTGGGCGGCTTTTAACGCTACCAATGTCCTCGAAACGTTGAATAGTACGGATTACAGTACTTTTGGAGATCCTATTATTTTCATTCCGAAAATTTTCATTAAATAATCGCGTTACTGTTTTACACCCTCTTTGTTGATCTCCCCATCCTCGCATCATTAACAGCGTTATTCGATATCTTTCGGAAAGCTCCGCCATTCTTAATTAGAGCAAAGAAGAATTAATCAGGTAAGTGATAGGAAATTGATCTAAATAATTAAGTAGAGAAAAATACTAATTATTAAGTGTTGGTCCAACTTTCGATTTGTTTATTTCAACTAGCACTAACAAAAAGCTCGTTGAGCAACTGAAAATCTAATAGATCAATTAATAATATTTACGAAAAAATTCTGGGCTATTGGAATCAAAATGAAGATGTTTGGGACAATCAATTGAAGCGCAATAGCTTCTTTTGTTACAGAAACAATTTTTGGGGCTGTTCGTTTTCGTCCACGAGGTGACTGCTGCTCGCTAAGAAGAAGACAGCACTGCGTCAAAGATTTAAATCAGTGATCCGCATTGTTTGCTCAAGAGCGTGTATTACTATTGGTGCCTGCGAGAGTGAGACATTAAAGATCGGCCCCGCCAACGCTTTCGGGCAGATTCCCGCTAACGCCTTCGGACATCACGCATTCGAGCAGCTTCTCGCGATCACCTTCTGGCAGTTTTCCGTCATAGCCTACTAGCATAACCGCTTGAAGCCGTAACTTTGTTATTAGACATTTTTCCAAAATGCATTCTTACTGAAAATATTAGGGGGGCCGATACTTTTCGATTAATGTATTTTCTTTAAACCAATTAATTGGTCTCATTATTTCGCGCACAAAAGTATTAAGGTTATGATTACTCAAAACTAAATAATATTTTACAAGATATTTTACGTTTTGGGTCAAAATATTGTTAACTTCAAACCTTTATAACTCAAAAAGTACTTAATGAAAAAATGTTTTATTATAGTGTTTTGGAAAGCTCTCGAGATAAGCTATAAGAATATGCAATAAAATGTTGCGAGTTCTATTTAAAAAAATAAGGTTGACCTTGAAATGACCTTGAAGGACATGGTCAAGGTCAAAGTCAACGTCATCATCTTACTTCCCGCTTGAAACCATACAACTTTGCTATTGGACATTTTCTCCAAAATACATTCTAACTGAAGATATTAGGGGGATCCGATACTTTTCGATGACCCTGTATAATTGAACTAATTATCAGTTGTAGCCCCTGAGATATTATCTATCTCGGTAACGTATCATTATCACCTTTTTTTATTGTAATTGCAGAACAATTATAATAATAGCAATAATAAGATAAAAGGAAGTGAGTGTCTGAAGAACGTAATAGTAAGTCAATTTTTTATAATACAGATAATTATTCAGAGACCGACCTGCTTCAATAAAATCATGCTGTTTACCATTATCAAGCCGCGGCGAGACACAGAACTATTTATAATTCCTGGTAAGACCTTGCAATAGCAGACGGATTTGTGACGTATATTCGGTCGGTGCTTATGAGAAAAAAATAATTTACATAATATTCATTTTATTCACATTTAAAACATAGTGGAATGGTAAAACATGGTAGAAATAGAGGAATGGGATAGACACTTTAGGAGATTATTAGGGGGAGTGAAATGGATGGTGGTCAGAGGAAGGGGAAGAAATGAGGAAAGAGGAGAGGAGAAGGGAATAGAAAGAAAGGAGGTAAGAAGGGTAATAAGGAAACTATTAGGTGTACAACTTTGCTTTCGCTGTTTTTTTCCGAAATTCGAGGCTTTATTGTAAAAAACTAGTTATACATTTATGATTCAAAGTATTGTCCATCGCTGGCCACTACTTTCTCCCATCTTTCAGGAAGCGTACGAATCCCGCGTTGAAAAAACTAGACATCTTTTGAAGCGATCCACGAATCGATCCAATTTCTTACTTCTTCATAAAACCGGAAATGCTAATCAACTAGGGCGTGTGCCATTGATCGAAACAACTGATAGTCAGAGGGAGCAACGTCTGGAGAATACGGCGGGTGGGTACGACTTCCCATTTCAACGTTTCCAAGTATGTCTTGACCACTTTCGCATCATGGGGTCGAGCATTGTCATGCTGCAAAATCACTTTATCGTGTCTCTCGTTGTATTGCGGACGTTGATCTTTCAATGCTCGGCTCAAACGCATTAATTGCGTTCGATAACAATCGCCTGTGATTGTTTCAGTCGGTTTTAACAGCTCATGATACACTACGCCGAGCTGGTCTCACCAAATACAGAGCATGACCTTGCAGCCGTGAATATTCGGTTTGGTCGTCGACGTGGAAGCATGGCCGGGATATGCCCATGATTTTCTGCGCTTGGGGTTATCGTAATGAACCCATTTTTCGTCCCCAGTCACAATGCGATGCAGAAATTCCTTCCGTCTTTGCCTTTCAAGCAATTGTTCACAAGCAAACAAACGCCGTTCAACATCTCTCGGGTACGAATTTCAACTCGTGCGGCACCCAATTTCCTTGCTTCTGAATCATTCCCATGTCTTTGAGGCGTTTTGAAATTGCTTGTTGAGTCATTCCCAATGATCGTGCCAATTCTTCTTGACTTTGACAAGAGTCTTCATTAAGTAATACCTCCAATTCTGCATCTTCGAAAACCTTCTCTTTTCCACCGCTATGCCAGTCTTCGACATGAAAATCACCGTTTTTGAAGCGTTGAAACCACTCACGACACGTTTTTTCACTAATAGCGGCCTCACCATAAGTATTTGAGAGCATTCGATGAGCCTCAGCCGCAGATTTCTTCATATTGGAGAAGAAAATTAAAACCTCCCGCAAATGACGAGAATTTGGCTCGTAAACTGACATTTTCAATCGAGAATAACTTTATGATGCAAACACAAATCGACTAATGTTTCTATGGAGTTATGTTGACAGAGTTTATTTATGGACTGAGCCCAAGTTTATTGCATGACGTCTATAATCTATTTATTTCGACCACTACTTACAGCTAAAGCCATCTATAAGAAAACGGCGGAAACAAAGTTATACACCTAATATATATATGTGTTGTTATATAAAGACACGTAATATATAGATATTGAAGTATATTACATAATATATGAAAATATAATATATATAAATTATAATGCTAGAATTCTCCTTTATAAAACATAGAAAAGGTTATTTGTATAATGAATTTATATTCCTATTTTTCTGTAATATATATATATTTTTATACGTAAGAGTAAAAGAAACATAAATTAAAAAAAAATAACAAAACATAGCTAAACGGGAACACGCAACTTGGCGAGTACCAGCACCGCGCACAGTCTGCTGCCCTACGCCGTCATTTGGAAATAACTCTGCAAGTGTTAGAATAACATACCTAAAATCGCGAAATTTCAATTTGTAATTTGTCAAATGATTGAGTGTTGCATCGTCCCCGGTTAACAGTAACTTGTGTACATACTTAGGTAAAGAGCGTAACATACTTAGGTAAAGAGCGACGATTTTGCCACAGGTAAAAGTTCTTTCTTGTGCAAAAATGCGTCGAATGAGACTAGTCTCATTAAAATTGGAGCTGATTGTATACTTCTAAATATTTACCATAATAATATAATATTCATAATAATTTCGGCGCGCCGAATAGGAAAAACTTCTCAGTATCGTTATAGTCGCACCCACGACTCAGATTACAGCCGAGAAAGAATCAGCCTAAAACCCGTGTCACACTACGGATTGAAGATCAAAGATTGCGGATTGAAGATTAGTTTTCGACAAATCAACGAACTTCGGTTTTGATTCGCTTTATTCCGATTGGTCAAATTTCAATCTTCAATCCGCAATCCTTGATCTTCAACCCGTAGTGTGACACGGGCTTAACTCGCGTCGCTGAGCGAGAACGAGAGCGAGAAAGAGGGAAAAATATTCTCGCTCATGTCGCCGAGCTAACACGAGAGCGAGAAAGAGGGAATGATATTCTCTCTCTCGCTCGGCGCGCTGACGATTACCGAGCACGTGGCCAACACAGATAGACCGAGTCGGCTGTTTGTGCGTGCGTGGTGGGGGAAATTCGCTGGCAAGCCCGCCGATTTCTTATCACTGAATGGTGTTTAAAAAATGGAGCAAGAAGAGAGCTCGCCGTCTGCAATCAAATGTGAAGGTCATGCTCACGGTTTTCTTTAACCATCGCGGTGTTGTGCACCAGGAATTTCTTCCAACTGGTCAAAAAGTCAATGCAAAATACTACTTGTCCGTCATGAGGTGTTTGCGCGAAACAATCCGTAAGAAACGACCAGAATTGTAAGAAAACAACTCGTGGATTTTGCATTATGACAACGCACTATCGCATACCTCGACACTTGTTGTGAATTTCTGACAGAAATCTTAACGAATGTCGCTCCGCAAACACCGTATTCACCAGACATAGTCTCCTGCGACTTTTTCCTGCTTTCCTTACTGAAAAAACCACTTCGCGGACAGCATTTCGAATCGATTGAGAACATCAAAGAAAAATCGTTGCGTGAATTGAAGGCCGTCAGGCGCGTATGAACGATATTTCCAGGACTAAATCGAACGCTGGCATATGTGCGTTACATTACATATTTATGAAATTATGTAAGACTAGGACACTACAAGCACTTGTCATTCTAGCTTATTCATATTAAACTCTTTGAGGCAGTATGTCTTCTACCATCACGATGTACGCACAAAGGTTCGCTTACTATATTATAGTACTCTTATTGTTGAAAATAACACATTCCCATATTTCGGCCAAACAAAATCACTTAATGCCGGAACAATGGGCATTAAAAGATATGCCTTTTTTATCCATTATTTTTGCAACATCGGAATATTTACCGGCTGGACCATGTAAAGAAGATACACGGAGATTTTTGCATGACCTACTTAACGGTTCTCTATGGGCTACACAAAGTAAGTTTATGTAAATTATAATATATTTGACGAATTAAAACACGAAAAAAATGTAATATGTGTGTGTGTATTTGATATTATTTTCTCAAACTATACGCAATTAGCGCATTTTAAGAAATAATTTATGAAAACCTAACACATATAATGTGACATATAACATACCTGTTGTAATTTCCTGTTCAACAATATAATTGTTATGTAACATATATATTACATGATACATTATGTTTGTTGTGAAATATCAACACCAATACTAAAACAATTAAAATATGAAAGATTCAAACTTATTCAATTCATATAAGTTGAGAATTTTCGAACAAGAATAAATGATTACTATAATAAAACTAGTAGATGCTAATAAATCGATTTATTTTAGGGGACCAAAATGCTTTGGTTTGTGTACATTATTGACAAGTGACCATGAATATTATTGCATAAATATTTTATAAAATATATAGTTTGAAAATTGTATTTTCGGATAACCAAATCTAAATTTTGCGAAATGTCTGTTCAAAACTTTGTCGGCAGATTAGTAGCAAAAATACAATAATGCTTATCCGCTAACAAAATATGATAACAAATTGATGGTAAATATCCAACAGGGTCACCTGTGTGAACTTGACACCCTACTTTTCAAAAATTAACTTGTCTGCATAAAAAACGTTAGATTTTCGTTTGTAGTTGTTTGTAGTAACATTAATTTCGTTTGTAGTTCGACCTTTAAAAAATATAAAAATTTACAAAAATTACACCCACCCGACTTTGAGATATCTCAAATCCGCTTTCGCAGCCTTCTTTAGAATCGTTTGTAGTTGTTTGTAGTGCTTTTTGTTTCGTTTGTAGTTGAATTGTTCAAAAGTTGTAACAATTTAAAAAAAAACGCCCAAGAGGCGATTCGGTTAATTTTTAAGATATCTCAAATCCGCTTTCGTAGTCTTCTTTAGAATCGTTTGTAGTTGTTTGATTCGGTCAATTTTTGAGATCTACTTTCAACTACAAACAACTACAAACGATTCTAAATAAGGCTGCGAAAGCGGATTTGAGATATCTAAAAAATTGACCGAATCGGTTCTTGGACGTTTTTTTAAATTGTTACAACTTTTGAACGGTTCAACTACAAACGAAACGAAAAGCACTACAAACAACTACAAACGATTCTAAAGAAGACTGCGAAAGCCGATTTGAGATATCTCAAACTCGGGTGAGTGTCATCTTTTAAAATTTTTATATTTTTTAAACGGTTGAACTACAAACGAAATTAATGTTATTACAAATAACTACAAACGAAAATCTAACGTTTTTATGCAGAAAAGTTAATTTTTTAAAAGTTGGGTGTCAAGTTCACACAGGTAACAGGATCTGACGTTCAGTAACTATTTAAATATATTTAAATGGAACATATTAGAACTCTGCTCGATTTTTGTTGCCAATCTACTGATAAATTATATCAGCAAACGTTATGTCAATATATGATTTTCATATGACACAGATAGTTATCGATCCGCTATATCTGATCATATCTGCTGCCAATCAAACGGCGTATTACTACCCGTGCAGCACATAAAGTTGCAGCAACATTATTGCAACGTTGCAGCAATGTTGCTATAACTTTTGTACTATATAAGTAACACTCCATTTATTAAATTGATATTGATCTATTTTGCATTTTATATACAGGGTGTTATAAAAGTCCCGGAAGAGCAGAATAACTCGAAAAATATGAGTCCTAGAAAAAACGCGAAGTACTGGATTTTTATGATTTTTTCCTGGCTATCTGACGGTGACCTTGGATTTGATCTAGACAATGACCTTGAAGGTCATTTCAAGGTCAGGTCAATTTTTAATAGGACACCAACTTTTGACACCAGAAATGAAAAGAGCGGAAAATTTTACGTTCGGATATAACCTTGAACACTGCCAAATTTGACCTCTGAAGGTCACATAAAGGTATAAGCTTGTTTTGGGCTGAAAACGCGAATATCTTCGAAAATGCACCTGCTAGAGAGCAATGTTACGCATAAGAATAAGAATGTAGAGGTCAACGAGGGACATTCAGCCGTGACTTTGCCCTTATTCTCAAGGTCATGAGTTAAAATTATTATTAAGGTCAAACCAGACTTTTTTAGGGCTGAAAATCCATACTTTTGACCTAAAAGTGTCAAGATTGGAAAATTTTACGTCCGGATATGACGTTTTCAACTTTGACCTTGTTCTCAAAATTATGCGTTTTAAGTTACTTCACTGATCGTGAAGTCTACTGAAAGTAAAGCGTCTCGGAACCCGACCACTGAAGGCAAGGTGTCTCAAACCCGACCACTGAAGGCAAGGTGTCTCAAACTCGACCACTGAAGGCAAGGTGTCTCAAACCCGACCACTGAGGGCAAGGTTCAATTAGTCCTGGCTACCGAAGGCAAAGCATCTTGTAACTCGGTCTGAGATTACAAGAGATGTTCAAAATGTTCCCCATTGACCGTTTGACAGTGTGTTTGACAGGTCAAGGTTGAAAACGTCATATCTGAACGTAAAATTTTTCAATCTTGACACTTTTGGGTCAAAAGTATGGATTTTCAGTCCTAAAAAAGTCCGGTGAGCTTAATAATAATCTTAACTCATGACCTTGAGAATAAGGACAAAGTCACGGCTGAATGTCCCTCGTTGACCTCTACATTCTTATTCTTATGTGTAACATTGCTCCCTAGCAGGTGCATTTTCGAAGATATTCGCGTTTTCAGCCTAATACAAGCTTAGACCTTTATGTGACCTTCAGAGGTCAAATTTGGCAGTGTTCAAGGTTATATCCGAACGTAAAATTTTCCGCTCTTTTCATTTCTGGTGTCAAAAGTTGGTGTCCTATTAAAAATTGACCTGACCTTGAAATGACCTTCAAGGTCATTGTCTAGATCAAATCCAAGGTCACCGTCAGATAGCCAGGAAAAAATCATAAAAATCCAGTACTTCGCGTTTTTTCTAGGACTCATATTTTTTTAGTTATTCTGCTCTTCCGGGACTTTTATAACACCCTGTATGTACTTATGTATATAAATATCGATATTATATTAAATTCTACTTTAGTGTTTGATTCTTCTACTAAATATCCGGATGGTATATTCTACGGACATACAAGACACGTAGGAAATTTTGACGAATGTTATAACATGCAAGTTAATGTTATCGAAGAGGGTGCTGATGTGCATGAAATCAATGGAAAATATTGTCGAATCAATATTACATATAAGAAGATGCAAACTATATCGGTCCAAAAGAAATCATCAAAATCACAGTATATAAGCAATTCGTTGGACATGAGAAATTCCTTTTGGAAACTATTAGAGGTATTTTATTATGCTAGTTTATATATATATATATATACATACATATATATATATACATATATATATATTTATATATATATATATATACATACATATATATATGTACAGGGTGTCCCATTTTAATGTCCCACCCCAAATAACTCTTCAGTATTGAAGTTTCAAGGAAAATTATCTGAATAAAAGTTGTCGGGATTTAAGTGAGCTATTTTATGATGACCTTGACTTTACTTTGACCTCTATTTTCTAGGTCATTTGAAGGTCAATTTACGTTTTTTAAATGGGAATCTTTATTTTTTATTACATTGTTTTTTTCTGCTAATTAATTTGAATAACTTTTGTCTAGAACATTTTTTTATTTGCCTAATATTTTTTTAATACAATTAAACAACATATGTACTTGGATTTTCTCCAACATCCATTACCAGAATATTTCAAAGACATTCCACTGGATGTTCGTGCAAGAATGTAGTTTCAACAGGATGGCGCTCCAGCACATTTTACTTGTCGTGTTCGAAAATTCTTGAATCAGTGATATCCAAATCAATGAATAGGTCGAGGAGGACCCGCTTTATGGCTTCTAAGATCATCGGATCTCAATCCCCTGGACTTTTTTTGGGAGGATATGTGAAAAATGCTATATTTGCTAAGGCGCCAACTACAAGAGACGATATGATGAAGAGAATTACGACAGCTTGTCGAGCAGTTACGGTTCAAACACTCAGAAACGCTCAGGAAAACTTCAGAATTAGACTTAATCTCTGCATACAAAACAATGGAGGTCATTCTGAACACATGATGCCAAGTGGAATGCCTCATGATGATTAATTTGTTGACCTAAATGGTCAGACCGGGGTCTGATCTTGCGTTAATTGGCCGGATTTGTACTCGATCTTGCCTTAGTTTGCCGGATTCGTATCCAATCTTGCCTTGATTGGCCGGATAGGTACTCGATCTTGCCTTAGTTAACCGGATCGAAAACTGATCTTACATTAGTTGTCCCGATAGAAACCTGAACTCGCCTAATTAGTTTAAAATGATATTTAATTTCAATCAGAAGGTCAAGATAATCATTAGGCAAGATTATTAGAAGGTTAACGTGATTTTTTGAATGGAAAACATATTCTTCACCACAGAAATGAGAAGAGCAGAAAATTTTACGTTCAGGTATGCTTCCTGCTTATAAATCAGAAGGTCAAATTAATTTGACCTTATGTCAAGAACAAGGTCACTGGCGAATGACTTTTTTTCAAATATGAAACACTATTCTGTATCATCGTCATAAGAGATTTTAGCAATGATGGCTTATTTGGTCTTCAAATGATCTTTAGGGGTCATTCATATCCATAAGTGAAAAACGCCCTTTTCATGTCTGAGTATAAAATGGGTTTCCGATATGGGTTTCCAAAAAAAAAAATAACTTCGACCTTCAAATGACCTTGAAATTTGACCTCAAGGTCAAGATTAAAGTCACCGTTAAGTGTCCCACTCTAACTCCTATAATTTCTATCTTACACATTTTTCTCTTTTGGCTTGTCTGATGATGTTACTGTAATGACATTAAGATGTAATGACATCTTGATTGACCTTGAAATGACCCCTGAAGGTAATTACGGACCGTAAATGTGTACCATATCTGAACGTAAAATTTTCCGTTTTTTTCATTTCTGGAGTCAAAAATATAGGTTCCCATTTAAAAAAATAACGTTGATCTTCAAATTACCTTGAAATTTAACCTCAAGGTCAAAGTCAAGGTCAAGGTCACTGATGTATATCCCCCATCCAGCCTTAAAACTTTTGTCTGAAACATTTTTTCGTCGACTTCGAAGATTTCGAGATTCTTTAATGCGAAATTTAAAATGGGACACCATGTATATATGTATTGGGGACTTGAATAAGTTCTCGCTGTTTCTTCGTGAAAATGAATGCTTTATTTAAAAAAATTAGTAAGTAAAGAACAAGTCATTGAAAGTATTGTCCATCGCTAGCCACTACTTCTCTCATCTTTCTGGTAGCATACGAATACCATGTCGAAAGAACGACTCATCTTTTGAGTTATCCACGAATAGACCCATTTTTTGGCATCTTCATAAGAATGGAAGTGCTGCTCAGCCAGGCCATGAGTCATCGATCGGAACAAGTAGTAATTGGAAGGAGCAATGTCCGGTGAATACGGCGGGTGGGATAGGACTTCCCATTTGAGCGTTTCCAAGTAGGTTTTGACCGGTTTTGCAATATATGGCCGAGCGTTGTCATGCTGCAAAATTACTTTGTCATGTCTCTCCTCGTATTGCGGCCGTTTTTCCTTCAATGCTCCGTTCAAATGCATCGATTGTAGTCGATAGCGATCTCCCGTGATGGTTTCGTTGGTTTTGAGGAGCTCATAATATACTACACCCAGCTGATCCTACCAAATACAGAGCATGAGCTTGGAACCATGGATATTCGGCTTTGCCGTCGATGTTGATGCATGGCCGGGCTTACCCCACGATTTTCTACGCTTCGGGTTATCGTAGTGTTCACTTTTCATCGCCAGTCACGATACGATGCAAAATATCTTTCCTTTTCTGCCGTTGGAGCAGCTGTTCACACGTGAAAAAACGCCATTCGACGTTTCTCGGCTTCAATTCGTACGGCACCCAATTTCCTTGCTTTTGAATCATTCCTAATGCTTTTAAACGTTTGGCAACTGTTGTGTGATCAACTCCTAATTATTCTACAAGTTCATTTTGCGTCTGACATGGGTCTTCATCGAGTAATGCTTCCAATTCTTCGTTTTCAAACTTTTTCGGTGCGCCAGAGCATTCTTTATCTTCAATATCAAAATCATTACTTTTAAAGCATCTAAATCAATATCTGTACGTTGTTTCCGACAGAGCATGGTCGCCGTAAGTCTTCATAAGAATTCTATGTGCTTCAGTTGCAGATTTTTTTTTGAAAAAAGTAATGCAAAAATTGCCCGCAAATACTCTTTTTTTGACACGAAATTCGACATGTTTAACGCTATGAAGAAATACACTGTCACTTCGAGCCTAATGGTGGAGCTTCACGATGAAGTTGACTGTAGTATTGCCCGATGCAAAAAGGCTAAGATAATACCATCTGTCGGGAAATAGCAAGAACTTATTCAAGTCCCCAATATAAGAAAGATAAAAATTACGGAGAGATCCAATTAATGGAACAAAATTATTATAAGATACTAATGTAATTATAAATTATACTAATATCCTGAAATAATGTAATTATAAATTATATATTTTATACGAAGTGTCCCATTATAATATTTGATTTAAGTATTTGAATTTAAATATACGGATTAAAATATTTGCGAAACATCTGTCGAAAGATTTAATATAATGATATTCATGTGATAATATAAGATATATTGATATTGAATATAAGATATCTGATTAGAAAGATACTCGACACGAAACAATTTGATTTGAAACAAGAATTGTAAGGATTCAATGCAGTCATGACCAATAGTTCTTTTTCTTATGTTTACATTAAATAGAAAATTAGTAATTTAGGTCAAAAAGCATATTTTATAAAAACAATTTAATTTAATACTTTCAGACGCAGATGCGAACTAAATATTTTATTCCAATTTAGATAGAAAAAAGAATAAACTTTTTTGTAAGTTCAATTGCTTCGCATAATTTTTCTTTTTGTTCTATTTTGATTAAAATTTTGCTTAGAACAGAACGATCTAAAAAAATAACTGATTACTTTTTTATTAATACTTTTGCACTGTAGCAATTAGAAAGTCCCCCATATGTACGCAGAAATCGTTTACAAATGGCTTTGTGTGTACCGGCGACTTGCAGTGCGGAAACTGTAGAAACAGCCTTGAGAATACCTTTAAGAAAACTTGGAGCGAGTAAAAATATTGAGTTGCAGACAAGTGTACAACCTAATTCTTGTTACACAGTCAAAGAAGCTCCAAAGTTTACTCTCGGCGCCGGAATTTACTGGTAAATTTTATTCATATCACAATCATAAAAGAAAAATGTATTTTGCATGTAAATTTAAATAATTTTTTAGTGCTCTGCTTGTCTTTTTATTGAGTCTAATAATAATCAGTACTTGGTACGACTGTACGTCAAGTGGAAATGGAAAAGATATGTCTGCAATACGAAATATCATGCTACACTTTTCCGCTCGGAGAAATTATGAAAAAATTGTCCACGTAAATTGTACACATACAGGGCTTGACTCTATATATCTTATACGTTTCGTTACTATTAGCAGCTTGGTTTACATGCATAACGGAATGCAATATATTTATATTCCCACTGTTAATGCAGTTGATATAGAAAAGGTATGTCAAACTATTGATCACATATACACTAAGGTTAATATGCAGGGTGTCCGTTAATTAGCCCGAAATATGAAGGCAGATTATCGAGTTATTAATGACAGAAATCTGAGGAGTGGCAGCGCGCCGACATAGATGATTAGAGAAGCGTTGCAGCTGCTCAGGCCACAGCGCGGCCCAGTTGATTTAAAAACTGTTACTGATACGCGGCGAGAGAAAGGACAACGCACTGCTATTATACAGAGTGTCCTATAATTGTTTTATCTCGCCGCACATGTGTCTCGCCGAACGCCGTCAAAAGTTGCTGTGTCGATTGGGTCGTGCTATAACCCGAGAATAGAGAGCCTCATAGAAAGAGAGCTGTGTGAAGTTGGCCCCCCGACCACCAAGAATTTAATTTTGACCATTGCCATTCATTTGATGGTCGTTTGGTAGTCCATTCCTAACATTTGGTAGTCAAAGGTGCAATAGTTCTCGCAAAAAATAAAAATTTTATGTGAAGTTGGCCCCCCATTTCGAAAATCGGTTTTCACGGTGTCCTGGATAATTTTGACCATTACCAATCGTTTGGTTGTCATTTGGTAGCGTTTGGTAGTCCATTCCGAACGTTTGATAGTCAAAAGTACAATAGTTCTCGCAAAAAAGAATTGTATGTGAAGTTGGCCCCCCCGTCTCGAAAATCGGTTCCCACGGTGTCCTGGATAATTTTGACCATTACCAATCATTTGGTGGTCGTTTAGTAGCGTTTGGTCGTCCATTCCCAACGTTTGATAATCAAAAGTGCAATAGCTCTCGTAAAAAATAAAAATTGTATGTCAAGTTGGACCCCCCATCTCGAAAATCGGCTTCCACGGTATCCTGGATAATTTTGACCGTTACCAATTGTTTGGTGGTCGTTTGGTAGCGTTTGGTAATCCATTTCCAACGTTTGGTAGTTAAAAGGGCAATAGTTCTCGCAAAAAATTATAATGTGAAGTTGGTGCAACCGGCTCGAACATCTGCTTCCATGGCATCTTGGATAATTTTCATCATTACTAATCGTTTGGTAATCGTTTGCTAGCGTTTGGTAGTCTATTCCCAATGTTCGATAGTCAAAAGTGCAATAGTTCTCTCAAAAAATCAAAATTATATGTGAAGTTGGCCCCCCTCTCCCAAAAATCGGTTTCCACGGTGTCCTAGATAATTTTGATCGTTACCAATTGTTTGGTGGTCGTTTGGTAGCGTTTGGTAGTCCTTTTCCAACGTTTAGTAGTCAAAACTGCAATAGTTCTCGCAACAAATTATAATATTGGGTCTGGCAAAAAGTTCGTGGCGTTTTTTTAGCAAAATTCAACTGGTTTTCTTATAATGTGAAAATGAATTTATTTAAACCAAATATGCTCTATTATTGTCGACAATGTTTCGCTATTTTTCGGGTAGAGACATTATGTCATCGGTGAAGAACTTCTGTGATTTCTGGTTGAAAAACTGAATCAAGTAGTTTTCACAGGCTTCTTTTGAAACCAGCTTAATTCCATTGAGAGAGTTCTGCAGAGATCGGAACAAGTGATAGTCAGAAGGTGCTATGTCTGGAATATACGGTGGATGCATCAAAACTTCCCAACCAAGCTCTCGCAATTTTTGACGGGTCATCAAAGAAGTGTGTGGTCGGGCGTTGTCATAATGGAAGACAACACCTTTCTTATTATTCAATTCGGGCCGTTTTCTTTCAATTGCCTGGCGTAATCTCTCTAGTTGTCCACAATAGAGTTAAGAATTAATCGTCTGACCAACTGGAAGTAGCTCATGGTGGACGATTCCCTTCCAGTCCCACCACACACACCAACATCACCTTCTTCGGCGTCAATCTTGGCTTCGCGAACGCTTGTGACGGCTCACCATCCCTTATCCACAATCTTTTACGCTTCTGATTGTCGTACGTGATCCATTTTTCATCACCGGTTATGACACGTTTCAGAAATGGCTCGATTTCATTGCATTTCAGCAGCGCATCGCAGATGTTAATTCGGTCTACCATGTTTTTCGCGCTCAACTCATGAGGAACCCATACATCGAGCTCCTTTTTGTAGCCAGCTTTGTGTAAATGGTTCAAAACAGTTTTGTGGTCAATGCCTAGCTCCATACCAATATCGACACTACTGATATGCTTATCTTGCTGGACTTTCTCAAGAATTTCATCAGCTTTTTCAGTGATGGGACGACCAGAGCGTGACTCGTATTTCACATCAAAATTACCAGAACGAAAGCGAGCGAACCATTTCCGCGCAGCAGATTTTGATAAAGTACCTTCACCATACACAGCACAAATTTTTCCACAAGCCTGCGCATCGTTCCTCCCTTTGTCGTAATAATATTGCAAAATATAGCGCAATTTTTCATTACTTTTTTCCATTTTCAAACGCAAACAACTTTCCAACCACTGCACCAATTTCGATGTTTATACACTCAAAGTAACGCTCGAAGTATCACCTTTCCAACGAGCGTTTAGTGGTGTCGCTGCGATCTGTGTTTCCTGAGTTATTTGCAATTGATGCCATTTATCGGGAAAAACGCCACGAACTTTTTCCCAGACCCAATATGAAGTTGGCCCCCTTTGCTCGAAAATCGGTTTCCACAGCATCTTGAATAATTTTGACCATTACTAATCGTTTGGTAGTCGTTTAACTGTTTTATAAGTAAAAGTAATTTTTTTGTCATTAACTTTTGTAATTCTCATTAAAACCTCTATTTTCCTTACGACTACAATTTCGATTATCGTTCGTTATAAAATAAACATAAAATAGCTTCCTTTAAACAAAAATTACTAAACTATAAAGGGTTACTCATCCCCGCTCTTTCGTCACGTCACAGAGAATCCTAACGCACTTAACGTAGTAGTGGTTATTATATTATATGATCGTGGTAGTGGCATGTTAGTTTGTTAGTTTGAAAGAAAATATTTTTTATATAAGTTATGTTTAATACTTACCTCGATAATTGGTGTTTATAATCAAACTGACGCTTAAATTCGATTTTATATATCACATATTGTCAATGAAAACCACTTGAAGCCGCTAAATAGACGCCACTGTGGGATTCACGGTGATGTCAATACCCCTTCTTATCGACGCGTCTTCTCGACGTGCAGAAATTCGCTAATAAGCAAATCTTTATAGTTTAGTAATTTTGCATTAAACAAATGATTATAATGAAAATTATGTAAATTATAAAAGAATGCCGCGGGAAGTGCTTTTTTGAACTTAGTAGGCCAACCTAACATTCGCAAATCCGATTTTCATTAATAATCATTACTATATTCTATCAAACGTCAGAAACTGACTACCAACCGCAAAAATACGACCACCAAAAATTTGTCACAATGAAAGTTACATAGAATATCGCGACAATGGAATGTCGTGTAACATTAGTTAAACTTAGAAAGCCAGCTTCACAAATGCAAACTTGACTTTCATTAATAACGAAAACAATTTTGACTACCAAACGTTGGGAATGGACTACCAAACGCTACCAAACGACCACTAAACAATTGATAATGGTCAAAATTATCCAGGACACCGTGGAAATTTTTGAGATGGGGAGGGCCAACTTCACATACAATTTTTATTTTTTGCGAGAACTATTGCACTTTTGACTATCAAACGTTAGGAATGGACTACCAAACGGTACCAAATGACCACCATACGAATGGCAATAGTCAAAATTAAATTCTTGGTGGTCGGGGGGCCAGCTTCACACAGCTTAGAAAGAGAGTGGCAAACTGATCACGTGACCAGATCTCTGTTGATTCGATGGAGGTACAAAGACCAATTAGAATATCGATATAGCAAGACGACAACTTAGTTTTACAGTGAGTTTTTAAAGCAGTCTGACGTACATCTGTCAATCATTAGAGGAGGTTACGACGAGTCGCACAAGAATATTCGCCTACGAATTAATAACAGCAATAAGAATCAGATATTCGTAAGTAATAAGTATTAATTGTGAAAGAATATTTGTCGCTTCGATTTACATAAAATAAGAATTATAATATATATTATTTACATAGTTTTATGTCTTGTGCATAGTATAAAATGCCTAGACTGCTTTTAAAACTCACTATAAAACCAACCTGTCGTCTTGCTATATCGATATTCTGATTGGTCAAGAAAACTTTGTACCTCCATTGAATCAGCAGAGACTTGGTCACGTGATCAGTTTGCCACCCTCTTCCTATGAGGCTTTGTACCCGAAAGGCTACGACGCTTCTCCAATCTCAGCGTGCGCTCATTCGTCAAATTTCTGTAATTAATAACTCGATAATTATTGCGAATCTCGCAAAATGGTATGGGACTTTCATGTTTGTTTTAATTCAATCTACCTTCATACTTCAAGTTGGCAGCTAATTACCGGATACAGGGTATACAGGGTGTCCCATAATTATTACACATTAACTTCACAGGGGCGTAGAGCTAAACGAAAAGAACGAAAAAGCCCTCTTCCATTTAGCGATTTCTTGTATAGTTTTTTAGTAATAACCACGTAAAATTTGACGTTTGTCACGTCCATCACGGCCGGCGGTACTGCAACTTTTAAATCTTGTAACTCAAAAAGTACCCAACGAAAAAATATTTAATTATAGTGTTTTGGAAAGTTGTTCCGCGGCGAGCTGTGTGTGTCGAAGTTGAGCGGTAACGCGGTTCGCGCTGACTGTCGCGATGGCGTTTTGGCGCTTTAACGCCGCGCGACGGTCAGCGCGAGCCGCGTTACCGCTCAACTTCGACACACACAGCTCGCCGTGGAGCGTCTGTAGACCGTGATGGGCGTGATAAACGCCAAACTTTTTACGCAGTTATTATTAAAAAACTATACAAGATATCGCTAAATGGAAGAGCACTTTTTCGTTCCTCTCGCTTAGCTCTACGCCCCTATATAATTGATGTGTTATAATTATGGGACACCCAGTATATAAAGTGTACGAATAGTATTGAAACCCCTTAATATCTCGGAAAATACGCATTTTAGAAAAAAATGCTCCATACAAAGTTAGTAGGATTTTATAAGATGCATTACATGGCAATATTATTATGACCCTGAATAGCGTTGTCAAGTTCACATGAAGGTCATCTAAAATTTCTTAAATAGAATCCCCTATTTTACATTATATATTCTTATAGCTTATCTGGAAGGCTTTCCAAATCACTATAATTAAATATTTTTTCGTTGGGTACTTTTTGAGTTACAAGATTTAAAAGTTGCAGTACCGGCGGCCTTAGCATTTTTTTTTGTGACGAGGAGGAAATCCATTATGGATACTCCCCATCCTCAGGGAAGGGTGGAGGGTTATATCCGACTCCTACCGGCTAAAACCTCCCCGGGTGGCGCTGCGAAGGGACTGTTCTCGGGGTCCCGGAGCCGCGTAACTGCAATCGGGGCCCGACGGGGCCCCGAGTACAGACGGCATAGTGGCGTCACCTTTCCCTCGAGAGGTGCCGGGGGAGGGGGGAGGCGAGCCAAAGTTCATCTTCAACCTCCGCTCCCCCAGGGGAGGGGGGAAGCGAGCCGAGGCTCATTTTCAACCACCGCTCCCCCTTCACCCCTCACGCCTAGCCTATATGGCTGGGAAGGGGGAAGCCGGCCAAAGAGCCCGCTTCAACCTCCGTTCCCAGCCAGGCGGAGCGCCGTCCTGTCCGGCGGCTGCGAGGGAAAAATCTAGTCCCCTAACCGCCGGGCGACTCTCGCCTGAAGAAAGGAGGCGGGTCTTATCCGGAACCCCCCTCTTTTCCGACCCTCATGCAATGCATGAGGGTCTTCAGGCTAGGGGGGAGGCATTTACGAAGATGATGACGACGAGTCCTCTTCTTGCACTCTCCCCTTTTTTGTCATCTGACCCCCCTCCTGGGGGCCAGTGGGAGGCTAGGGACAAGGCAAGAGACAGGTATACGGTCCCCTGCCTTGTTGCGCCCGTTGCCAGTGGCGCCGGAGTTTGGGAGAAGGGCGGAAAGCCATCTCCCCTCCCCCTCCTATATGTTCTTCCTCTCGATACACCGCGACTCCCTGCTGGGCTTCGGGGTGCCGCGGCGACTCCTGCGTTTGTTCTCCCCTACCGATATGGTGCGGGAGGAGGGGGGGTGGAGCCATAATAGCCTCACCACCCCCTCTTCCTCTGAGGAACCGCCGCTGCTTCCCGATTCACATCGCTGGCAACGACGACGGCGACATCGGCGCTCTCTCGCGTGTTCTCTCCCACGCCCTTGCTTCGTCTCTCGCAGGCATTCGGCCTCCTCCTTTTGGGACATGACCGCCTCGCAAAAGGTGGCGAAGGCCTCCCATTTCTTCTCACTCCCGACGATGGCATTTACCACCGCCGAGAGCGAAAGATCATGTCCCAGCTCGTTGATTGCGACTACGCACTCTGCGGCCCATGCCGGGCATTCTTTCAGCGTATGCTGCGCAGAGTCGCAATCCTGTCCGCAGTGATGATACTGCGTTGTGCGCTCCTTTTGTATTCGACATAAGTACTCACCGAAGCAACCATGCCCGGTGAATATCTGTGTCATCCGGAACGTCAGATCCCTGTGCCCTGTCTATCCATTCGGTTAGACAGGGCTGGACGGCTTCGACGGTCCTCCCGTACCTGGAATCTTCCAGGCATCTTGACCAGCGTTGGAGAAGGACCAGTCGAGCCTGATGCCTTAATCGCCTTATGGCCCCGGCGAGCGCCTCATCTGCCCCCATATTTCGACCCTGTGTTTGTACATTGTTCTGTACATCAAGGCGAGGAGCTCCATCGGGGGCATGCCCGCCAGGGCCGTCGCCGCTGCATGCGAGATCGTTCGATACCCGCGGATGACCCTGACTGCCAGCACCCTCTGCGCTGTTCGCAGAAGGGCCCGCAGTGTTCGACTGGCGGCCAGGACCTCCGCCCATATCGGTGCCCCATACAAGGCCACCGTATTCAATATTCCCGCATGCAGCAGGCGCGCCTTCCTATTTGGTCCCCCGGCGTTGGGTATTAAGCACCCAAGAGCAGACGATACTACTCTTAGCCGGGGGACTAGGCGTTGGAAATGCTGTTTAAAGCACCAGGTGCCGTCCAAGGAGATACTTCATCTGGGCCTCAATGGGGACTCTGACGTTCCCAATTCTCAACTGGGCCTGGGGCGGCCGAACTCCCTTCTTGTGGAAGAAAACTGCCTCTGTCTTCCTCTCGGCCACCACCAGACCCAGATGGCGTATGGAGCGCACGGCGCAGGCCACTGCCATGTTCGCCGTTTCTACTGCGTCCCCCTAGTCCTTCCCCCCCCCCAGCTAAGACGAACGTATCGTCTGCATAGCAGATCATAGTGCAGCCGGGGGGAACGCGGTGCGGAGGACTGAGTCGTAGCCGAGGTTCCACAGGAGGGGGCTCAGAACGGACCCCTGTGGAACCCCGCACGACATCCCCCTCTCACGTACGGCATCGGCGTCCTTGTAGCACAGACGCCGACCCCGGAAGTAGTCCTGGATGACAGCCACTAGGTAGGGTGGAAGCCAAAGTGTTCCTTCATGGCTTGTACCACTTTACCCCAGGGCAGGGTGTTGAACGCGTTGGCGATATCAAGAGATACCGCCACCGCCACCCTGCCCCTCCTCACAATGGCCTTCGAGGAAAGTCCTCACGCAACCTGTTTTCACGCAACCTGTATGTTTCTGAGTGTGGCCTCCAGATCTTTCCCCGCTAGACTATTTCCTTTGAGGTTACTTCAAAAGTAAAGTCTACAGCACAAAATCTCGAAATTTAAACGAATTCCATCGTCGAATAAATCGAGATACATTTGATACCTTTCCATTTTTGCGAAAATGCCATTTCCAATTTTTATACTAAACTGGTACATTGTCAGACTGTTAATGGCCAGCTATTTGAACATTTATATGAATGCAAACGTTCAGAAACATGTAGCGGTATTTACGCACACTTAAATAAAAATATGTATGCATGTATGTATACACGAGGGCACACGTAGCGCGCCTACGCGCGCGCGCACGCACGCACACACGCACGCACGCACGCACGCACACGCACATACAAAAGAGGGAGAGAGTGTAAATCCGATCTCCACGCGATACACCTTGAATAATGCTAATGCCGGCGTTACTGCAACTTTTTAATCTTGTAACTTAAAAAGTACCTAACGAAAAAACATCTTGTTATAGTGTTTTGGAAAGCCCTCGAGATAAGCTACAAGTATATGTAATTAAAAGTAGGAGGTTTCGTTTAACAAATTTAAGATGACCTTTACGTGACCTTGACAACGATATTCAGGGTCATAATAATATTGCCATGTGATGCGCCTTATAAAACCCTATTAACATTGTATGAAACATTTTTTTCTAAAATACGTATTTTCCGAAGTTTTAAAGGGTTCCGATACTTTTGGTACACCTTGTATAATATTTACGCATTAATGTTTTCTTCCTTGCAACGATTATATATAAAATTATTATATGCAAAAAAAACATTTTTCATCCTAATGTTTGCTTTCAGATGTACAAATTACCTTTGATTACAATAATAATAAACGCTTCTTTTACAATAAATATAATATTCGCTTTGGGCGGCGTTTTACTCGCATCTCAGTTATTGAAAGACTTGGATCAAAATAAGCGACTTAAATTTGTTCAAAATATTATATCGAGATACTTAAGGTATATATATATGCATAAAGTATCTATTTTAAGCGTTGCGGTAAATATCTCGGGATCTGTGCAATTTTTTGAGAATATCCTCTTGACAAAAATAATAAAGTTTGGAGTGTGTATGTTAACCATCACCATCAAAGTCTTATTAAATCCGTCATATTTAATACTTTGCCGGCCGCTGTCACGTACGCGTGACTTTTGCTCGCCGACGGTTATCGGCCGCTGTCATGTACGCGTGACTTCGGTTCAGCGCGGCAACAATGTTTCCACTATGCTTCTGTTTTAACTATCCCGATTGTCTTTTCTTGACATTCTTTAATATCACCGTTGGCGAACAGTAGAACCCGCGCGAAATTCACCGGCGGCAGCGTAAAGGCGATGCGAGAAGTAAGCGGCCAGCAAAGTGTTAAGTACCTCAGCTTACATATTTGTCTCCAAAGGAAATTACGGGCTTTAAAAAACGGTCAGAAAGTTTTCCTTACTGTCAGAAGTTTTCGATACAACTATGAATGTAACATTAATTCATATAAATAATATAAATTATAAACGCTCATATTTACAAATACGAAATACCTTTGTTAAGGTACCGCAATTCCTTTGATGCAAATAATAGTATTTTGAGCAGTATTAACATTTCACTTTTGTAGCGATTAAATTTGCGATAGCAAATTATACGCTTAGAACACTTGTCAATATACTTTTGATGTTGGAAAAGTGTTGACAAAGTTATAGGGAAAATTATATCGGCACAGATATACCGTCAAAGAAAGGTTTTCTGTCTCTCCTTTTTCCTTTCTCTCTTTCCCCCTACCTCTCCTTCTCTCCCTCCCTTGCCCCTTTCAAACACACACACTCTCTCTCTCTCTCCCTCCCTCCTTTTTCCTCTCTACCTCTCTCCCTCTCTACTTCTGTCCCTCTCTCCCTCTCTCCCTCCCTCCCTTCCTCTTTCCTTCCCCCTCCCTTCCTCTATTTTTCTCACTTTCTCTCTCTTTCTGTCTCCCTCCCTTTTTTTTTTTGGTCACGCAGGGGAAATCCATCATGGATACCCCCACCCCTTGGGGGGGGGGGGGGGTTATGTCGGACTCTTACCGACTAAAACCCCTGCGGGATGTCTACCTGTCGGACCGTGAGGAGGGGAGTCAGGGGAACTTCTCCCGTATTCCCTCCCCAACCGTCTCCCTCCTTTTCATTCTTTCTTTTTCCGTTGGCATCTTATGTGATGATTTGCAATTGTGAACTTTAGATTGAACAAGGATTTTTATGATAATATTGCAATTTATCATTTGAAAGTCCATATTTGAAAGATCCAAAGTTTCTGACACGCGCAGCAACTATACTCTTTATAATTCTTTTCGTAATATTTCTTAAAATACAAAATTTACTGAGAAGAGCCAACTACACCAAATAAAAAGAATATGAAAGCCCAGATTATGGGTATCTGCGTACGAGGTGGCGACGGGTATCTGCCGAGGAAGTAGATGGGCAATTTTGATAGAAATAGAATTCAAGGATATTAAAGGACAACATTCAATAATGTTTTGATATACAAGTCTGTTTTTTACAAAAAATAAGAAATGTCTTCTGCCCATTCAGTTATAATAATCCTTGAATGAACTTAAAGAACTACAGATAATCTTAGAGGATCTATATGTCATAACATAATGAACTTATTTCGGAATGGATTATCTAAAAGAAAATATATAATTCTATATAAGAAACATAAAGATTACCTTTAATTCCAACATCTCACCTAAAAAGAGCATCTCACCTAAAAAAAATTGTGCTTTTAGTAAAATATCCCCCTCAACATTAAGTATTTGTCACCTGAAATATTTTGCCGAAATATACTAAGTTTTTCAGAAACATATTAAGTATCTTGAGAGATAATTGCGTGGATATACAGGGTATCCGGCAATTGGCTGCCAACCCGAAGTGTGAAGGTAGATTGGGTTAAGACAAGCATAAATGTTCCATACGTTTTGCGAAATTCGCAATAATTATCGAGTTATTAATGACAGAAATCTGATGAGTGGGAGTGCGCTGACATATGTAGATGATTGAAGAAGCGTTGTACCTGCTTAGGCCACAGCGCGGCCCAGTCGATCCAGAAACTGCTGGTACGCGGTGAGCGGAAAGACAACGCGCACCACTATTCGTTGTTTTATCTCGCCGCACCTACGTCTCGCCGCACGACGCCAACAGTTGCTGGGTCGACTGAACTGCGTTGTAACCCAAGAGGCTGCGACGCTTCTCCAATCATCCATCTCAGCGCGCAATCATTCGTCAGATTTCTGTAATTAATAACTCGATAATTATTGCGATTTTCGCAAAACAGTATGGGATTTTTATGTTTGTCTTAACCCAATCTATCTTCACACTTTGGACTAGCAGCTAATTGCCGGACACCCTGTATATGAAAATAAGACACTGCATATATGAGCCACATGAGTAATATATATAATTTACAGGTTAACGCCGTTATATGCCACAATAATTGGTTTCTACATTTGGATCTTTCCGCTACTAGGTTCTGGACCATTTTGGGACAAAGTGGTCGAGGAAAGCGCTAATTGTGCGAAAAATTGGTGGATAAATCTATTGTACATCAACAATTACGTCGCAACTTCGGAACTGGTAATAAAATTATTTTTATATCAATCCGAATAATTTCCGAAAAAAATCAATTAATGTTGACGTGTAAATGACGCGTTTCAGTGTGTCATCCATGGCTGGTATTTAGCGGCAGACTTTCAACTCTTCATTTGCAGTCAATTTGTGATATATGCATTTTGGCGTATGCCCCGCAAAATGGGATATCCTTTTCTCGGGATATTATTATTAATAAGTTCCACTGTATCTTTTGTTGCCACCTACGTAAACGATGCACCATCCGTTGTACGATTCACACCGTAGTGAGTAATTTCTAATGCTGTTGTGTGTATACGTGTGCTTGCGCGTCTATAACTTTATCCCTAATTAAGACTTAATTAACTCGTGTTCCGTTATTATCTGAGATTAGTTTATTTAATTAGATAGAAAAACGAATGCAGATGGGAAGAATCAATATTAATGAATCTTATTTTATTATTCTATACAGCGTAACTATGATAGAAGAAGTGGCGGAGTTTAAAATGTATTATATCAAAACGCATATGTGTATCAGTGGATACCTTGTCGGTATAATCGCTGGTGCAATACTTCACGATCACAAAGGTAATACGTGGCGTTTATCTAAGGTATGTGAATATGTATTATATTTTTAGCTAACTTTCATATCATATTCATGAGTAAAAATAAATACAAATTATATCTCAACGTATCTCAACACTTTTAAATTTAAGTCGTATTTAAGTAAAATATTTCTTCATGAATAACAACTATTATAAATAACTCTGTATTTTGTAAAATTCTCTTATGCTATTTTTGTTCAGATGCCGAAGACATCTGTACCATTTTTAAATGTGGATAATTTCACATATATGTTATCGTAATGAAACAAAAGATGTTAAAAAAGACCGATTTTCCGACTACAGATGGAACCTAAAAATCGATTACTATGGGTATCTATGAACCGTATAAGATGTGAAAATGATGGCCCTTCTGGCAGGAAATACATGATGTTCTTTACATCATGTTATATTGTAGTGCAAAACATGCAAAAATCACTATTTTTCATATTCTTGTACGCCATATTAAATCCACCGCGGTGAATTCAAAACTTCTAGTGTTGTAAACGACATCGAAAACTGTCACAATCATCGTAATGTTTTCATTCATAAACATGATATTGAGTGGATTCCAAGTGGAAAATGCAGATTTTTTCAAGCTTCCAAATTCTTATTGACAACATTGGATACATCATCTTGGATTTCGGTATGCTGACATGAAAATCATCATGAGCTCATGACTTCCATAGCTATCGCGAACTTACTCGAGTTTGATGAATCCCGTATTTCAAGATAAACATGTGAATACTCATGAGTTTCTACACTTTGATTCGCTATATTACATCTGCTATTTTGGATCACGAAATCTGAGAAAGGGAAACATCATCAAAAACACTCGTAACTATGGCGTATCCAATAGAATGCATGATGTTGAATAAACTTTATCCGAAATATATTGGTATACATGTTTTCCTCAATTCTAAACCGCCACATTGGATTCGCCATTTTGAATGTCGAGATCTCGATATTGAACCATTTATTAACTATCTTAAAAACTATTGGATAATTACCTAACCAGAAGCTGCTTTGTCTAACATTATAAATGTCGCCGAATAGTTGTCTCCAAATCGATGGAATGACACATTTTTCACTAGTTTTGACGACTTTACGATCCTTTTCACAGGTCTCCCGCCAAAAGGGCTATTATTTCCACATCTTGTATGGTTCATAGATATCCACGATACTCGATATTTAGGTTCCATCTGTAGTCGAATTTTTTGAACATCTTCTTTTTGTAATGTAATATAATGTTTTGTAATGTAATATAATGTAATATAATGTTTCTCAACTGGTATTAAAAATTTGTACTATCTACTAGTACAATATGCTAGTACTATTTATTAGTACTATCTTTTATAAAAAAAAAAGAAATGCAGAGGGCAATTTTGATTGTGGTTAGGTTTTTATTAACCACTTGACTGGCACGCGCGCCAAAAAGGCGTGCGCTTTGCGTCACAAAGAACTCGCCTTACTTCTTCGCTAGAAATGCATAATTAAATTTAAAAAGTCACTAATCACTTATGTTCTCGACATCAAGGAATCCGAATTTAATGTCCAAATTAATGAATTTTTTATCCCCGATGCACTGTCGTCTGTTTAATACGCACGGAAAATTCTTTCTTTTATATCGATTTAAGGACTAAGATTATGCTCTCATATAATTGTTTGTTAAGTGAAATGAAATTGTAATAAACATTTTTAAAACGTATAAACATAGTTAACCTTTGTGCATTTACTGGTGAAATGAATCATGACCCCGGAGTGCGCCACGAGGAGGCTGCAGCAATAGGATTTTACATTCCCTTTTTCACGTTTTTTCATATTTTGTTTTTCATGTTTTTTGTTCTTTTCATATTTTTTGTTTTTATCTTTCTTTACTTCTTTTTATTCTTTTTTATTTTTTATATTTTTTGTTTATTTCGTCGTTGGTCGTGATTCATTTCACTAGCAAACGCACAAAGGTTAACTATGTTTATACGTTTTGGAAATGTTTATTACAATTTCATTTGACTTAACAAACAATAATATGACAGCATAATTTTAGTCCTTAAATCGATATAAAAGAAAGAATTTTCCGTGCGTATTAAATAGACGACAGTGCATCGGGGATTAAAAATTCATTAATTTGGACATTAAATTCGGATTCCTTGATGTCGAAAACATAAGATTAGTGACCTTTTAAATTTAATTATGCATTTCTAGCGAAGAAATAAGGCGAGTTCTTTGTGACGCAAAGCGCGCCCCTTTTTGCCGCGCGTGCTGATCAAGTGGTTAATAATCATAACTTAAGTAAGCATACAGATATTAGGTGTGTGAATTAATTCGGTCCGTTTTTTCTCCCAAAAAAGACTTTAGTATGAAAAAACATGAAAAAGTACACTAATCAAAGTATTTGCCATCGCCTGCAATTATTTTTTCCTATCTGTCTGCTAGTTGTTGCATTCCGTGACGAAAAAACGACTCGTCCTTCGAAGCGGTCCATTTATTGAGCCATTTCTCTATTTTTTCATAATTGTTGAAGTGTTGGTGTACCATCTATCTGAACAAGTGATAATCGGATGGAGCAATGTCTGGTGAATACGGCGGATGATGTAAAACGTCCCAGCCAAGTGCTTCCAAGGTGGCCTTCACAATCTTTCCAACATGTGGTCGAGCGTTATCGTGGAAGATCACTTTGTCGTGTCTCTTTGCATATTCCGGCCACTTATTCTTCAATTTAAACGTTATTTAAACGAATCAATTGTTGTTGGTAAAGTTCGGCAGTGATGGTTTGGCTCTGTTTTAATAGTTCATGATACACAATACCCGTCTGGTCCTACCATATACAGAGCATTACTTTTTTGCCGTGAATATTCCGCTTTGGTATCGATGTGGATGGTTTTTCTAGGTCGCTAATGGATTTCCTTCGTTTGGAATTATCGAAATATATCCACTTTTCGTCTCTAGTCACAACACGATGCAAAAAGCCTTCTCTTTTTGGCCTGGCAAGCAAGATTTCAGACATGGCTTTTCGTCTCTCGATGTCTCTTTCTTTCAGTTCGTATGGAACCCATCTTCCTTCTTTGTGAATCTTTCCCATGGCTGCCAAACGCACAGAAATTGTTGATCCATCAATATTCAACAATTGTGCGAGCTCATGTTGTGATTGACACGGATCTTCATCGATTAGCGCCTGCAATTCCTCGTCCTCGAACTTCTTCGGCTGACCTGGACGAAGTTTGTCATCGACACTGAAATCATCACTTTTGAAACGTCGAAACCATTCTCTGCATGATTTATCAATGGGAGCACTTTCATCATAAGCTTCTACAAGCATTCGATGAGCTTCAGCGGCTGTTTTTTTTAAATGAAAACAGAAAATGGGAACTTCTTGGAAATGATGCTTTTTTGGCTCAAATTTCGACTTTTTCAAATCAGATAAACACACAGATAAACACAGATGTTATTGTTACAAAACCAAACGTTTATCAACTGAATATTATTGCCAGATATCAAAACTAAAAAATAAAACCTTTTGCAGACATTAGAGATTAGATAATTACATAATACAGCAATTGACCGCCAGATGGACCGAATTAATTCACACATATAATAATATGTCCCAAAGCTTTCCAATTTTAATATGAATAAATAATAACGCCACATTTATTAATGCCAATCGGAAAACACGGTATAATGACACGGTAATATGAGCCATTTTGTGCTTTCAGTTCTGGTCACATATCTTAGTTTACCCGATGCCTGTGATTTTATATATTGCAACCCAATATTGGGCGCATAAATTTTTTATATTGAGCAAGGCAAATCTATTGGAAGAGGCAATTTTCGCATTTTTCCAGAGACTTATTTCTGCCTTATGCGTGTGTTCCACTATAGTTTTGTTATCCATCGGCAGTCAATCAAGTATGATATACATAATATAAAATGTTTGATTCGCCTTAAGTTACGGTCTACACTATTGTCAAAAGGTTTAAGAAACACGAGATAAGTTACTGTTTCTGAATATTGGCGACTATGATAGTGGCTTGTCTGCCAATTTTGAAACAATTGTTGTTGTAATTATAGATTCAACCAATTAGGTAGGAGAGACTGGGGCTGATTAATACAGCTTTCCTTAATGAATTTTTGAAGCACAAGTAAAAAATGGAATATAAGCGGCATAAGAATTTTTTAATAACTACATGCTTACATAACACAAAAATTATTTTTTGGATTCAATATTTCTATTAACTTTATTACATCAATGAAAAATATAAGGCGATAACATTTGTAACAACCAATCTCATACAAGGTCATACGTATATGAGGTCAGTTGTTACAGTTATCGGGGTTAATTGTTACAGATCTGTATATTTCAAAGAATACATTTAACGATTAGAAATAAATGAAAAATGTGCATAACATAATTATTAATATTTTGCAGGTAAAATATATATTCATGTAGCATTAATGATGTAAATATAAATATATTTATCAATGATATAAACATAAAAGCATATTTATCAATTATTTTACTGCATTAGTAAACTAGTGCACTTACTGAACTAGTGCAGTAAGTTACAATAAACAACTGACAGCTGTAATAACAGATTCCGTAACAACCAGTCGCAGCTCATCATATTTACATATTTTGGTTACTGTATAAACAAAAGTATATTTTGTCAATATTCGTCAAGCCGTCAATATAACTAAAAATTATTACTTTTAAAATAAAGATTCTAAATAAACTGTTGCACTCATAATATAATGACCAGACTTATTAATATAACATGATTTATTTTGACTATCAAAAACTAGAAATGTTTTTTGTTTCTGAAAATATATTAGTTAGCCTGAAATAACTTATTACAACTTGACTGCAATATCTTTGCAGAATTACTATATTTTTTATGCAATTTTACCGTTTGTCATTTTGCAATAATTTTAAATATATCAACGTGTATCAACCATCCCCACTCTTTCCTGAACTTATTTTCTTTTATTTTTTAAGACATAATATTTTTAGTCAAGTTTAGACAAAGTTCAGGTTCGTTTATTATATTTTGCTCAACTAGTTTGGTCAAGTTTAAACTTTAACAAATTTATTCTATAATCAAAGATGTTAATCATGCTTACTATTTATTGTTCCAAAAGCTACTTTGCCAAAATTATTTCGGAATCAGCTATTATGTCTCCTGTATTTTCTCCAACAGAATTTTACTACCGTTTCTTTACACCACGTTGGATGCAGCCATTAGCAAACTTAACTTATGGAGTTTATATCACGCACGTGATATTGCTTATGCTTAACGTAGGACAATCAAGAACTGCAAGAACTTTTAACATTTTTAATTCAGTAAGTATAAAAAAGTTGATGTGTGTGTATGTACCATATAGTCAAACCTGCTAAAACAGATTTTATGCAAAATCTGTTAGCAATATCTATTGACAGAAAGACAACAGATTGTACACAGAATCTGTTTAACAGACTGTGACAACAGATTGGCAACTGAATGCGCGTAGAGCCAGTCGACAGGCACTGACGGCAGATTGACAGCAAAATGCATGCAATCTGCCACCGATTTACTATCAGAGTCTATTAGTAGATCCTGTTAGCAATCTGACAACAGTTTGGGCATGCAGATATCTGGATCTGTCGACGGATGCTACTCAATCTGTTGCCAATCTGACGTCAGTCTGTATACAGATTTTTTACTGGGGAGTTTTTTTATTTTCTGCGAAAACAGAACCAAGAATACTCTTTATTGAATGTCTCTCTCTCTCTCTCTCTCTCTCTCTCTCTCTCTCTCTCTCTCTCTCTCTCTCTCTCTTCTCTACTTATTAAATTTAATGATAATTTTTTACGTAGGTATCGGATACTGTTATGTTATTGCTACTTTCTAATATGATTTCTCTACTCTTGACGATATGCATCGAAATGCCATATAGGAGTTTAACGAAATGGTTATTCTCTGAAAACAACACAATTGTTGTTAACGGAAGGTATTTTAATGATAGATTTTTTCTTGTGTACAATTAATGAGACAGCTCTTTTCCTTTCAGGACATCCGAGTATAAAATAATGAAAGAAGAATAATGTATTATATATCCTGATTCTGCCGATGATGAGAATCCGAAATAAAACGAAACAGATTATCTTTCGTAAACTAAGTTTGTTTTGTAAATGGGATTTGGATGGGGATTGGATTTATATTATAATGTAAATTTGTAATTATATATATATATATATATATATATTGTAAACTAATCATTATAGGAGTTGATTGTTTGACAGACAATTAGTAGACTCTTTTCACTTAGATTTTATTATAAAAATTTAAATAAATTATTAAAAATCTCCAGCTCCAGTTTTCTAATAGATTTCAGATAATATTGCAGATCTGACATTTAGCTATGAGAATTCTATGATTGATTTCTATGACTGTTTTCTATTTTTCTTTATATATGCGCAAATTTATTATTATTTTTATTAAAAATATAATTTCATATTTGTATCGGAGATATTTTATATGAATATATATTTAACAATATATTCGTAAGAATATGTTAAAAGAAGCGATTCTGAACGATTGTTAAATAGACCAGAAATTCCTAGATTTCATAGGTTTTCAAGGATCGTATCTTTTTTCCCTGATATTTGCACTGATAGCGCGGACACGATTATTTTATTAACAATGCCAGAAAACAATTACAATTAAGTAGTTCCATTTTGAAAATAAGTGCAGATGGTAATCTGCAAGAAATTTGTGTAAAGAGAACGTGTATAATGATGATTTTCATCAATTTCAGTTAACTATCAAACTAATTATTAAAAGTAGCAGGATGCCGATTTAAATTCTAATGGATATGAATACTTCATGCTTAATAACTTTAATCAAGCGACGCGGTAGCATTATGTACGTTGAGTATTATAAAAAGAAATATCGATCGATGTCAATATGGTAGAACGTGATGGGACATGACGCTACCGCTAATATTTACAGGAAAGTTCGCGTCGTCTGATATATTTTGTAAAAAATCTTAGAAACTAAAGCAGTATTCAAAAATATAATGACATTTTTCTTATTAAATGTCGATATAAATTTTCGATTGAGCCCTCATTAACAAAAATTGGTATAGCCAATGTCGAGATCAAGAAATCTGCAACCCGAAAATGCAAAAATATTCAACATATCTGTTTCTCAAGACCACATAAAATTAAAGTGCGTTGTACAACGCATTTCTGAATCTGAAGCTGTTTCGATGCTGCATTGCGGCCGGCTTCGTGTCGCTTATAAAAATAAAACTGTCATCGCGGTGAAGTGCCGCGGCACCATGATCAGCTTATCGCGATAACGCATAAGAGAATAAACCAATTAGTTTTCTTCATTTCCCTCCTCAGGATAGAAATGAAGAATTCTGATTGGTTGATTCTCTTATGCGTTGTGTATTATGCGTTATGCAGAAGTCTGTGCTCTGGCCCATAATGTACAACGCATAAAGAAATCAACCAATTGCAAAACTAATACAGATATTAAAATTATTTTTGTGTTTAATGTCTTATATTTATCTTTATGAATTCAGTGCAATAAACACTAGTGCAAGATTAATAATTATTATGGATAATGTGAATTTTGTAATGCAGTATGTCAAGAAGCAATTGTACTTGTTGGAGCAGAAAGGCGATCATTAGTGCTATATTGTGTGATAAGGTAAATGAATTTACGATTCTGGTAAGCTTGTTAAATAAACAAAATAATAGGTAATTACTTTACAGTTTATTTCTGTGCTTGTAAATTACTTTAAAGTTTTTATGTTGTAAATAAAATAAGTTCATAGATAAACATTGGATTTTTTTAGATAAACATTGGATTATTTTCATATGAAATCTTGATGCCGACGAAAGAAACGTACAGAACGCAGTCGTCAATCGAATTATTACAACAATGGTTGGATCATGGCAATGATAAACCACTTTAAATTGTTCCTTATCGTTAATACTAACGACGAGGAGTAACTCGAAGTGCTTTATCATTGCCATGAACCAACTATTGTCATAATAATTCGATTGATGGCTATGTATGTTTCTTTCATCGGCATCAAGATATTGACGTTAATGAACGATCATTATACCAGGTCTGTAAATATGAAACCGGAATTTGCCCATAGATGGCCCTAGCTGTCAGTGTAGTTACCATCAAACCGCGTCATTGGCGCCATTTCCATTTGTTGACATCTGACAAAGATTTTCAACTGACAGCAATACAAGTTTCATACAACAGCATAGTTTGTAATAGCGTTGAAGATGTTGAATTTTGTGCCTGGAAGCTACGATTTCGCGGAAGGATTCCCGACCCATTTGGGTAAGAGAGGAACGAAGGGAAAGAGGAGTCGCCCCACTAAGAATGAGACTACAAGGTTTCCGAAAAAGGAGAGAGCTATTCGTCTTGCGGTTGCTAGCGTCTTATCGTTATCGTATCCCGAGCGGAGAGAATTAAATGTACCATGTAACGTTTCGGCGACCTTTTTCGTACTTTTAGGCGATTGCGAAGACGCGACGATAGCCAGCCGGGATCGACACAGCAGACAAGAACTGCATTTTGGTCCAATTTTGGAAGGGTGCCGAAAACAGGCTTTAGGGACCCTCCTCTTTTAGTATTCCTTAATTTTCTTGAGTATGCTTTGAGTTGCAGAGTTGCAGATTGCGTCACAATACGGCGCAAACGTAGCACAATGCAGCACAATTCGAAAAAATACAAAATTCGAAAAGTGCAGGTTACTTAAAAGTTAACATGTTAATTCATGTTACAAACGCATAACAATGTGCGAGACCATGCTTGTCAAGTGCGCTATTATGATCGTAGCACGGACATAAACCGCCTGAAGTGAATGTAGCACGGACTCCCACCACATGCAGGTTTTACCGCCGAGACCTGAAAGTGTACGTAGTAACGTAGTTCCTTTCTTAAAATGGATGCAGATGGCGCCCTTTCCCGTGCGGAATAGAGACCCTATAGTAGAGAGTCTGGATACGACCTGAAAATGGCCGACTCAGTGTGTTCTTTTTAGCTGCACAATGGTACAAAAAATATCAGTTCAGCAGTTGAAAAGAACAGCCTTAGGCCAAAGGTGGGAGAAAACGTCATCAGTTCAATTTACCTGCTACGAAAAAGAAGTTTTATTTATATCATTTATATATTAATCAATGATAAATAACGGTATGTAATATTAAAAATGAGGAAAATATTTGTTTGTGCTTATTAATAGAATTACAATGTTGTGAATATTTCCTTTCTAACTTTATATATTACTATAATAGTGCCTTAACTTTTGTTAACTTATCGACTTTAGAAATTTCAAAATTAAATTAACAAAAGTTAGGGCACTGTTATAGTAATATATTCTTGACAGTAAATAAAGTAAAAAAGTCTAATACTATTTCTTCTCTCGACGAATAATTAACGAGATATCGTAAGTTAAATGTTGAAAAGTTACCAAATTTTCCTTAAATATTTCAAAAAATATTAGGCAAATAAAAAAATATTTCAGACAAAAGTTGTTAAAATTAATTGGTAAAATTAATTGGTAGAAAAAGAAAATATAATAAAAAATTAAGCTTTCTATTTTAGAAAATTAAGTTGACCTTCAAAATGACTGACCTTGAAAATGCCCTCCAAATAAAAAACTGATAATCCCATTCTTTTTTCCCTTCGAAATCATGGAAAACATGTTTTCCACGAAGCGTTTTTTAATATCTTTTATAGTTTTCGAAATTTTTTAATGCGAAAGTTAAAATGGGACACCCTATATATAAATATACCATATATTACCTTGTATATATTATTGTTATAAATATTCTGCATTAAATATATTATATATTTTATATTTCGTTATGTTATTGTATTATTTCTCTTATTCCCACAATACATTTCACTTATATTCTATTAATAGAAATATTGATTTTAAGGTCCATACTTTAACCTTCCTTTTATCAAAGTGTCTCTAAAAATTAGTTATAACCAATTAGAAGCTTTATAAGCCATTTTTACAGGTACTTTTATCAATAAAATTAAGTTTAGGGTATGGACCCATATATGTTTCTCTGTATAAATTCATGAAATATATTACATTTTTTTTATAAATATTGAATTTCGAAATATTCGTTTATGAAATTCTTTACTTTTCATGTGTTAATGCTAAATAAAATAATATATGACGCTATCCAGAAGACACATTACTCGACATCCACATTATCTACCCGTTCGCGCTAAGTAAGCAAGGTTTTCTATTAGTGCCGCCATTTTCAGGCCACCGATCCGTGAACCAATTGCGCCGAAGCTCTGATGTCCAGACTCTCTATTGTAGGGTCTCTAGTGCGGAAATTCGGCATCGCCGAAAACGCCGTGTTGGCCACTCTCAGGTTCTTCTCTGCTGGCAAGCCCGTCACTGAATTCTCATCACTGCTAAAAAATCGTGGACATTGGCATCGTAGTTCATATGCACGGTTGTACAGAGAACGCTTCGCACTTGGCTCGGCTAAAAGCGGCCTATGACCCTTCTGCATTGGTAGTTGTGTTCGTACCCAAATTGGTCCGTACCCGCCGCGATTTCGACTCGCCGGAGGTGAATCTCACGCGTGAATTACAACCAGGAGTATCGAAGATAAGTATCGTCCGCTCGGCATCGCGAAGCATCGTCGAACAGTAATCAAAGAAGCTATCGAGGAACAAGTCGTCAATAATGTCGAGTGGAATGCTGTTAAACGACCGTTACGCGATGACAGTCCAGAAATCAAATCACCGCGCTGTTTCATTGACTGCCGAGATAAAACTTCGTAAGTTCGTTTGTAAGTCATCGCCGACGATAGCGACTACTCATAGCAGGAGAAAATGGATAGTATTCTGTTAAAATCTCGAAAATCAGCATCGTCTCGAACATTTCACATATTTGAACTCGCGACGTCGTCGAAGAAAATGGAACACTGTCATTGGTCGCCTCGCGCTGCGGCGAGCCAATCATTGTCTCGCGAAACTCAGTCGTCGCGGTGTTCGACCAGTCACGAAACAGTTCGAGCACAGATAAACCTTTGCACGTCTTTCTTCTCAGTGACTTTTTCTCGGTTAAAGTGAATCTCGCGCGTGGATCATCGCTAGGGGTGCCAAAAATGGGTA